GTGCTCGCCCTCATACTGCTATGGGTGGGGTTTGATTCCTGGACCTGCTGTCCCACGTGGGTGGAGTTTGTTAGTGGTTCTCGTTGTTGTTCCGAGGGTTTTTTTCCCTGAGTCTTCCGATTTCTCTCCCTCCACAAAACCACAACCTGGAGATAGTGGACAGGAAGAGCCACCTCGTGGAATGTCCGCTGCATAATTATTATTATTTTTATTATAATTATAGTTAATAAAAAAAGATTGGTGTGAGATTCAACACATTTCGTTCATGTACATTTACCAGGAGATGGTCGACTTTGAATTCTAATTGAATTGTATGATGTGTTTTTATCAACAGATTGGATGTTTTATGGGTTTCTCCATTACTGGGTGTGTCTTCTCAGGAGCAATGTTCATCCTTTACTGCATAAATGTTCAAAATCTGGCAGGTTTAGATTTTAGTCTCCTAGTTTTCTTCATTTTCTCTTTGGTTGAGTTGTTCTTGGCCCTTGCGTCATCCATCTATTGTTGCAGGGCAGTGTGTTGTAAATCACCAGCAGCTGGGAACACAGTAAGTAATTACCACCGACAGTTCAGTTGTTAACGTTAAAAGTTTTCTTAACATTATTTGTTGCTAATACCTTTTAATATATATATTGCATCAAATATTTTTGCATACCTACGGTTGGTTTTTTGTGGGACTAAAGCTGAGAACTATTCAGTTCAGTGTTATAATCCATCAATTTTTTTTTGCCTACACGCAATTGTTATAAATACATCATGTGATCAAATATGCCCTGGCTAAAACTGGGGAATATCCCAACTGATACTCCTCAATTTACAAATCCTTATGGTAAATACGATAAAAGCCATCGTCTAGAATTCAATTCACGTTGAAAGTGCATTTTTGTTACAGTGAGGATGATATATGCTCGAAGATATACCCTTATATTTGTCCTTGGGCATTATCTCTTCCTTGAAGCTCATCGCGACCCTCTCAGAAGACTCTTGGCATCGTGGAACAGATATATAATGTCCCTGGACAAATATTCGTGCATATGTTAGTGTCCGATGCCAGCTGTTGTTAATTTATTGCAATTCTTAAATTTTGTGTTCAGTTGCCCAGTCTAGCGTTATAGAAAATTAGTTCTTAGAAAATTGTTTTCATCATGGAACAAACATTATGTTCACCGGACAAATATCTCTTTAGTGAACACAATGCCACGTATATAGTGGTAATAATGATCATGATGAACAATTTGTATAGGTAATAACATGATTTTGAATGCAATTTGGTGTTAATAAGCACACGTAGAATTTTCACAAACAACTAAGTTGGACAAGCCTTTAGGGCAATTGGTGCAAGTTGTATTCTTTGAAATTGTATTACTTGTTCATAATGTACATGAGAGAAACATCAAAGAGACTGGAGACAGACATATATTTACTGGCAGCACAAATGCCCTAATTGTTATTTGCACTTGTGTTACAACTTTGCACTTGTGTTACACCAGAATGCACCTGTTTTCGGCCAATCGGATACTCGTAATGTAAATAATTAATATTGGGTTATTGAAAATTAATAATAATTAGTATATATTACGGACTATTGGAATTTTTAGTTATGAATGTTAAAACAGTCAACTCCCCTTTAACAGACACACAATTTTTTTCCTGTCCACAGTGGCTTTGTTGTAAAACTATACCTAATAGATGGTTTTGTACATTCCATTGACTTTATCTGGTGAAATCACAGCTAGCATTTTTAATGAATTTTAGACTTTAAACATTTAATTTATCTGATGCTTAACTATTTGACTATTAAGACATGGACCAACCGGCAAGTGGTGTATGTACAGCCTCAATACATGTACTCTGGGGCACAGCCGGGTGGGGTTTTAATGCAGACCGATGCTAGTGTGGTGTCACAGGGATACCCAGCAACAGGCCAGCAACCTTTGTATTTCCTCCAGCAGGTAACTAGATATAAATGATTATGTACTGATACAAATTACATGAATCCAAGTTTGGAAAAACAAAGTTCTAGGCAGAGTACTTTAAACTCGGAATAGTCAAATGTTTTTTCAGAAAATAAATTAGTCATTATTCCGTGTAGTGCAGTGTTTACTATCGAAATTCAGTTTGGTCTAAAATTATCCATAAATACATTGATGGTAAGACTGTATACTTTGGAAAGGTTTAAAAGAGGAATGAATGCTGTAATTAAGCCGCATAACAAATAGTTACCTATTCTCTGTCTTGGTCTGTCTTAGTATTGTTCTTACTATAGTGTTTTTTGGGCATTTCAGATATTGGGAATTTGATATTTGAAATTCTGAGAGTGACTTGCATCTAATTTCTCCCAACAATATAACCCCTCAATCACAGATTAAGGTAAAAAGAATAAAGGAAATGATCACCAACTAAAGAAGCTCTCGATTGTTAAACAAATTCTCCTTGTTAGGTACCTTAAGAAACATTATGTAAGGACAATATGAACTACATGCATACTCATGTTATGGTGAAAAGGGATAAAATGCTTGCATGGTGAAACTAACGCTACTGACAATTACACATTCAGTATGGTGAATTTTTTAGCTTGATACATAAATAAAGAAAAATTTGAGTTTGTTGGATATGAATGTATTAATTAATTTTAGACTTTAATGGCCCAATTCGCCTGAGTGAGCTCTCTGTAACTTAATGGCAGAGGACAAAATCCAAAGGTCTAGTGTCTATTTCGACATGGGTAACTGTGAGTTTTTTTGCCACATGCGTATGAAAAATTGTAGAAAGTCTTCCCCTAGATGCTGTCAATGTTCTAGGTCTAAAATATTTCAACATTATTCATTTGACAGCCTGGAGTGGTTGCACAGCCTGGTGCGGTTGCACAACCTGGAGTGGTTGCACAGCCTAGCGTGTTTCCACAGCCTGGGGTGGTTGCACAACCAGGGGTGGTTGCACAGCCTGGGGTGGTGGCTCAGCAGGGGGTGGTTGGACAGCCAGGAGTGGTGGCACAGCCGGAGGTGGTGGCTCAGCAGGGGGTGGTTGGACAGCCAGGGGTGGTGGCACAGCCTGGGGTGGGTACACAGTCTGGGATGGTTGCACAGCCCAGGGTCGTGGCATAACCTGGGGTGATTGCACAACCTGGGGTGGTTGCACAGCCTGGGGTGGCATTTCAGCAACCCACTTACTGGCCTGTTCCCTCAGGATCCAACGCAGCTGGAGCAGTGACTCTACCCTATTCAGATGTTCCCCCCCAAGTACAGAATCAAGCTCTGCAAGTCCAGATAATTATGCTGGAATACATTAGTTTAACCCTTCAGCCCTAAGGACTGACCAACACCTAGTTTCTCTTCACAGTTTGGCTCCTTGATCAAACAGAAATGAGAAAAAATGAAATGATGGCCAACTAAAGAGGCTCTTTGTTGTTAATCAGATTCTGTGTGTCAGTCCCATAAGAAATGAGTGGAGAACACTACGATGTTTTTTAAATGAGTGTTGTTGTGAAGTGGCCTGTTTGTTCACTTTAGAATTACCTTGATATTAGCAAACTCTCCAAACAGAATCTCTGAGAATCGATTGTCTTACTTACTATTTTCGTAGATTCCTTTAGCAGTAACAGACGAGGAAATGCCAGCACCATATCCATTTGTGCAGTCAGGCAATGTACCACCACCAGCTTTCTCATCTGAGGATGCCAATCCAAATATTTAGTGTCTGATTTCAGAACATGAATCAGCAGTTACATCTGGAGTATAATTGGGGCATGCTTTAGAAGTTTTGAATTTGTGAGCTCTTGCAGTACAATGGGAAAGGAATGGGAACCAGGGGAGAGGCTGGAGAGGACAATAGGATAAGAGAGGAGAGGTGAAACGTGCGAGCTGAATGAGGGTTGGAAGAGGGGGGGAGTGGAAATGTGAAAATGTGAACTATCCTCAATAGAAAAATGGGAGATGTAAGAGTCAAAGATACTGAGGCCCGGTTAGAGAGAGGGAGGAAGAGCCAAAGATGCTGAGGCCTGTGAGAGGCAAGACATTCTTTCCCCCACTCCTCCCCACCCTCCCCATTCCCAATCTCTTTCCTAATTAAGGTAAAGCTGTGCCTCCAAGATATGTATGTTTATATAATTAGCTGAATTAAAGCTGCAATTTGATTGGCTCATTTTTTTTATAAACTTTTTTGGATGTGACCGTTGACAGTTTTTTCTTTTTTACTATTTAAAACAAATACGGGTAGAGAGATGACGTCACAAGTGGTAATAATATCAATGACACACTAGGCTGCGTCTCGTTTGGCACTTTTTGGATCTTACCACATAATGACGTCATCTACAATCTCTTACTGAACAGAGATATGGCAGCTTGCAATCTCTTTATTAATTTGTAGGGGTATATTTCAGCTTTGATGTTCGTGAAGATAAGGGTAGTAATAATATTAATGTGCCAGGTTTGATTTTTATTAGGAAATGATGATTTAGATGTAGCACTGTATTGTTTAAACTGAAGTGCTGAATGAGGCTTTTGATCCATAATTGCAGCCTGTTTTTTACCAGTTTAACTATAACAGTAGTACTTATAATAAACTCAAGTTGTAACTTGAATGATTATTCATTTCCTCAGTTTTGTAGGGCAGGCTCCACATCAATGACACTGTGACCTTAACACGAAGGCGTAAAATTATATTACATTAAAGTGTGTCAAACATGCTATATTTTCTTGTATGTGGGTGCGTAATTTTATTTTTGTATGTTCTACTTTCATCAACTACCAAACCTGAAGGAG